CATGTTTTGCCAGAATACTGTTATTGGGAGTAAACTGTGGAAACATACATCAGTTTACTTTATTTATTTATTTAATTTTCTTTATAACTGCAGTTACTACCCATGTGAATGCTACTAGAGGCAGTGTACCCTATTTCTCAAGTGAAACTGTATGGCCCTCTCTGGATTACCTGCTTTGAGAATAGGTAAAGTACCTCTCTGTTTTGTTGTTGGTGTCACTGCTGCTGTGATGAAACTTTTGCCCAAAATTGTCCCAGAGCGCAGCCCCACTGGTCCCTGACATAATGATGCCCAGCTGCTACCAAATTGGGCCTCAAGGTCTCTACACTTTAAGGTAGACACAGGCTTAAATTCTTTTTCCTGAAAAATATTACAAACAGATGACTCATTGTCATTTGCCTTGTAAACAAAACAAACTAGTAAACTATAACAAACTGTAAACTAAAACAAGACATAAATGGCCTGGGAATGTTATATGTAAAAAAACACAAGCTGCTTTAGGAGTAGCATGTAGAGGGAGCTGTACAAACTGTGAGATGCTCTATAAACAGAATTTAAAAGTTAAAAGTACCACAAGCTGCTTTAGAAGCAGAGCAGTGTGCTGAGAACAGAATAACAATAAGCTCTATATAAATGGTATAATGTTAAAAGGTGGTCTGAGAGCAGGATGAGGATGAGGATGAAGTTGTGCAAACTGAAGCTAGCTAGCTTAACTAACCTTAAGGTGTCATGAGAGTAGAGGCTCCGAATCCAGCATATCATGCATTTACTAGTCTCCATCTACTGCTAGGCAAGTTAGGTAAGCTAGCTAGCACGTTACAGCTCATTTGAAGGTAATAAGCCAGCTACCTACCTTTCTAGCTAGCTAAATTGAGCAACCTTTGAAGTGCAGGGTGCTGTGCAGTTTAAAATATGGGTGGACGACATGCGAGTGTGCTGCTACAGCTGCGCTTATCTCTTCCTTTTGCAGGTTTTAAAGTTATTGTAACCCTGCCCAGTCAATGTTCTGATCATAATTGATAAGTTTATTTCAAATTTTTATATATTTATACATATCAAAGTATTTTTATTTCAAGGTGAAGGTTGGATTCAAAATTTCATTGCTACTTTTAATGCCAGTTAATTTTCAATACAAGCCCTGAACAAGCCCCACATTGCTTTCTGACATGAGACCAGACCAAGGGTTCACATAGATTTGTATATACTTGCTAAAGTTGGAAGCCAATACAGGTCTTCCAAAGTAATTCAGTAGAATATATAACCAAATACATGCAGACTTCTTATGTTCTGTCTTAAGTCTTCTGCTTAGTCCCACAATATAAACTACTTTTTACTGTATCCAAAGTTCAGTTTCAAAATAAAAAATTTTGGTTGAAAAGCTTGGAACTGCTGGCAATACAGCATGGTCTCTCATCTAGTCAAAGTTGTACTTCACTGCATGGTGGAACTCATAGTTTTCTCAGATGAGGCTTAAGGAGACCACAGAGAGAATAAATATGTGGATTTCTCAGATTTTTTGAACCACTTTCTACGATTCATTTTCAGAGACCCTAAAAATTTTGATTCTATTACTAAGAAAGGCTGAGAATCATTTCTTTAATCTTGATGGGTTGACCCTTTGTTTTCAGTTAAGGACTGAGCTAGCTGAGGTTTGGACCGCAGCCCAAAAGAGTGTGTATGTCTATAGTCTAGGGGTATGGTCAGGGTACTAGAGGTCCTAGGTTCAAATCCCAGATGAGTGTAGTTTCTAAGGTGACTTCCCTCTAGTTGGCATGTGTTAACAATTCATCAGACATGTGTTCTGCTTCTGCTGTGACACTTTCCCAAATCCTTCTTCCTGTGGTCCGTTTGTGAAATGCCTTACAGTCAAAATCTTGATAAATGTGACCAAAAGCCGCATCATTTATCTGTAGACTTATTGTTTTATTCTGATTTACTAAACCCCTTGCATTAAACCTTGCACCTTGCATTAGCAACAGCAATGTACATTCCCTGCTACGTTTATTCAGTCACTACAAGAAAATGCCAAACCTTGTTCAAAAGTTGACCACAGGCTTTATTTGTGGTCAACTGTGGTCATTTTCTGTGTTTAATGGCAATAACCATTAAACACAGAAAATTAGTAATGATCAGCTTATCCAGGTTGTACACATTTTTACTCAATGTGTAATACTAATTCAGCTTCAGTTTTCTCCTACACAATGCATCATTACCTGGGGCTTTAAATCAGAGTCAATAGGTCAAACGTTTGAAGTCTTCTCACGTCTATCCATCTTGAAAAATTCTTAGAATCTTTTCATTGTATGTAATAAATTACCATACCAAAAACAAAGCAAAGACAGAAGAAGTTTGAGAAAAACAATACATTTTCTGTAAGCCTTTTCATCATGTTCAGCATCATCGTGTTGATGGTCTGAATAAAACTATAATTCTGGATGAGCCGTCATATTTCATCAGTTTATCATTTGTTTTGATGTGGGCAAAACACTAAGAAAGGTAAAAATGAAGAAAGCTTTGATCCGTTGGCTCCTTGGTCCAGGTGACATTAAATGACGTGTAGTGCGTCAGTCTTTTGATGCTTCGTTTTTTTCGAACACAAACGTGCTGGCTAAGGCGGCGTGTGTAGCAGAGAAACGTCTCCGTGCTGGTTTGTTGATCTAGGGGTATGATTCTCGCTTTCGGTGCGACCAGTCCCGTGTTCAAATCCCACACAAGCCCAGATTTTAACGTCATTTTCATGTTCAACATCACCGAATTTGTGATCTGAAAACTGAAACTTTGGGAAAGAAAAAAAAGCCAAATGTCATATACTGTCCGTTTTCATTTGACTTTGATAGGAGGAGTTAAACAACGATTCTTGCTAAGGTTGAGGTAGGTCCTGGCAGCAAAGCTCGGACGAGCCTTGGTTTGGACGTGATTTGCAGAGCATTAAAGGGAAAGTTCACCCACATAAAATATCAAAATGCATATCCATGTCACCAAGAGAAAAGTCTGGCTGAAAATGAACCATTTCAAAGCAACCTGTGGGTTCAGATAAAGCCTGTGGTCAAATTTTGACTCGTGGTGACGTATTCATTGGTCTTAGGCCTTGTTCAGACTGCCAGACCAAATCTGATTTTTGCCATATTATGATCGTTTCTAGACTGATTTTTGTTTGTCTGGACAGCGAGAAACCCCATGAAATAAACTTTATCCAAATCCTTTTCAAACCAAATTGCCCACATGGAGATGGTTTTAAATGCGATTCCAGTGGGATTTTCACAGATGCCTCACAGTCTGGCCGCTCAAATCGGATTTCAAAGTTTCTTTTGCCTCACTTGCAACGTGATAAACAACGACGTTGTCAAATCCAGAGTGATGGAAGTGCTGGGATTCAAGAAGAGCGCCAAAGATTTGTGATTATTCCAAAGAATTTCGAAGAGTCTGGAGGGCGAGATGGCGCACCTCCATCTGCCCTGTATCTGCGTCACCAGTTTTGCAGCTATGTAGTTACTGACGCCTACGTCGTGACCTCAGCAACCTCAAAGCCTCAAATGTATCAGATGGGGTCAGCAGAGTCATTTACATATAGCTTTGTTTTTTAAAACAAGCAGGAGGACTTTTTTCTGATGACCGCTTTATTGATGATGACTGTCCCACTTTCCATAACTGGGGCGGACAGAAGATTGTCCATATCTTATGGTAGGATGGCCCTGGCCTCCTTTGCCCACACCTTGGCTACCACTGCTGCTCTTAGGGAGTTTTTCCTTGCCACTGTCGCCACTGGCTTGTTCATTGGGGCTCGGACCTGAATTTTTTATAAAGTTGCTTTGTGACAACACCAGTTGTAAAAAGTGCTATATAAATAAACTTTGACTTGACACGACAGTCTACCTCATGAAGCACTGGCTAATTACATATTGTTTGTTTATTAGCATATTGCTCTCATGGTGTGGTTTGATACTTAGCAAATCATCCAACTGCAGGCCCTTGGAGGGTCCTCCACAGTCAAACATTTTACACGAGAATGGGTCCACTATTACACTGATGCTAAGCTTATCATTAGCAAACATGCCCACTACGGAGGGGATTATTAGCTCAAAGGAGCTCAGTAACACTGAGACTAATAACTGGCACATTGATTTATCAGTCTACTCAGGCCTTAGCAGTATTCAGTATTTGTAAAGAAGCCATTAATTACGGTCCTGTTTGCTGCCATGTGCTGATTTTAAAATAGTTGATAAACAAGAACTGATGATGTTTCTTTTAAAGATGTAATTTTTATTTAAAGGGTACGTATTCTAAAAGTATTCTCCTAAGATGTATGAAGTAAATGCCTTCTGAGTACTGCCTTTACAAAATGTAACTTGGACTGAATACAGACACTGAATTTCTGTATTCTGAATATGTATTCCCAATGCTTGTATTCTGTTACATCCCAGCCCTGAGTACATCACACCTCATCCCACCCTGTCCCACGTCCTATCTTACACTGTCCCATCCTGTCCCACCTACTGTCTCACTCCCTATACAGGTTTAAACACTTACTCCATATGTATCTGTTTAGGCAGTAAGGACAAAGTAGATTTTGTACTTGTTCAAATAAAAATAGAAAGATTTAGCAACTCTGTCCCTTGTGCAAATATTTTTTCACACACTTACATCAGTTGTTGCATGATGTCTACATATGTGGAAAGTTGGTTTCAGAGTTGGACCTGAAGAATTTTTTAACTGGGTAGAAATTTTCATGTAAAGTCAGAGACACTTGTTGCATTTCTGTTACTGTCACGTGTATATCAGCACTTTTGGAGCATTGAATTAATGATAATGGCAATGTTACATTATGGTTATTGCGCTCATGATTCAGCCAACAAGTGGTTCGGATAGTTGCATGTAACACATCACTAGTATGAAAGGTTAATATTAACCTTTTATACTAGTGACGTGTTAGATGCAACTAAAGTCCGAACCACTTGATATCAAACCAGCAGGCGGCGCCAGATCATCAGTTAGAGTTCACACAGTGTGTTGGTGACATTTGATCAGACCGCTCAGTACCAACACACACGCACAAAACACATAATAACAAATAGAATCGCTGTCCACTGTGTTCAGCTGCTAACCTAGAACAGTCTCTGATGTGGGTGTAAGTTCAGTCCTCCACCATGGCTACATCAGGTAAGAAAATTATGAATGTTTAAAGATTTGTTTATGGTCTTACGTTTCAGAGGGAGATTAAAGCTAAAGCTAGTTTAGCTGAAGTCAGTTTAGCCAAAGTTAGCCTGTTTAGCTAACGAAAGGACGTCTGTTGTCGGCTAACTTTAGCAGTATCTCAGTTAGCAGTGCTAATTGTAAGTAAAGTGAGAAACCACAGATCGTAATTTTATAAAGGTAGCTTTTACTATGACTTCATTAAGGTAATGTGGACTATAATTATAATAGTATAGTCTGTTACAGTGATATAGTTGTAAAATATATGCTATAATGTAACGTTAAGCCTATCTCTCCATCAGGTGTTGATGTGTTTTGTTGAGGTGGTGATGATGTTGGTGCCAGTTTGCACACTGTTTTGTTCTTGAAAAATGTTGCAATTCTATTCTGCTACCTCTTTTACAAGTAATCAGAAATTCACTAAGATATTACAACAGACCACGTTCATTAACTTACACTCTTAGTACATAATTGACACCTTCCTGATAAGAAGATTCATCCGCAAGGTTATAAATTGTAAGATTTTTAGTGATTATAATGCAAATCTACAAGCAGAGGATTATAAGGTGAATGTTAAACTATTGAGGAAGGTCTTGTCTTAGTATGTATCTTATCCTATAACAACTAAAGCTAAAGAAACACATTTTAAAATAATAACATCTGCATGTCCAGTGAATGTCTTTTTGCGGAAGAGGTTTCATTTTGATCTGGATCTTTGTCCTTTTTGTACTGCAGAAGCAGAATCGCTAGAACATTTATTCTGGAATGATATTTATGATTGGTTAGCTGTCAGACTGTTTAATTCTGTAGGTTACTAAAATACCTGTAGTTACTTTGTGAACAACCTAAACAACCAACTAATTAAAGAAGTATCTAGTTATTATTAAAGAGTAACTCCTGTTGTTTTTATAGTATTATGCAACTAGCATATATAATAATATTAAACACATCATCAGTTGTTATTGAGACCTTAAAACACATATGGGTCAGATTTCAGCATGATTTGTTCATCTGTTACTAAAATAATTGATTAATTCGCTGATTAATTAACAGTTTATGGAACAAATCATGGACATGTGCTTTTTCCAGTTTCTACTGTTTGCTGTTAAGCCATGAAGTTAAGGCCCAAATCACTGTGGCTGGACCTTCATTCATTAAAGCTCAAACCAAACCACATCACTGTGTTGTTAAATCTGCAGATGAAATGAATATGTTTTTGTGATAGTTTACTGATTTGCATTTGCACCACTGATTTTCATTTTGGAGGTTGGACGTGGCTATGATTAGCCTTAGCTGTGTTGGTTTTAAACAACAAAATCGATAAATGGATGTTTTTTGTAACGCATTTTTAAGAATTAACTTTCGTTTATGTCCGATATTATGTATTTAATGTTGTATTGCAGCCCGAGCATCTACAGGGCAAAAAAACTTTGTTTTATTTACTTGTTTGTCAGGGAGTTATACAGTTAAACATTGTTACATAAAAAATACAACAAATATTGCATCAAATAAACAAATAAAGTGACTATTTTTGCTTTGTATTTCATCTTTTTTTTTCAGACAGGACAGCTGGAAATGGCAGTGATGAAGCAGCCATACAGAGAGAGGAAGAGAGAGAGGGCGAGAGAGAGGAGGAGCTCAGGCTCGTGCTGATTGGCCGGACCGGCTCTGGGAAGAGCGCTTCGGGGAATGCCATCCTGGGACGACGGCGCTTCCTGTCTGAGCTGAGGGCAAGCTCTGTGACGCGAGTGTGTGAGCAGGCCAGTGCCGAGCTGCCCGAGGATGAAGATGAAGGTGATGAGGGCTCCAGCAGGTGGAGGAGGGTGGTGGTGGTGGACATGCCAGGATTCGGAGACACTCGATTGGACGCAGGTCAGTTTCACACAAGGACTGAACAGTCTATCACTTGTTAATCATAAGCACGATATTTGCCTTTGCAATTGTGATATTGCAGAAGGCTGCAATATGCAAATGAGCCCTCTAACGAATCAGTGTTTTTTTTACTGTGTGAGATGGGCATCCTGGCCAATGACAAGAGTGGTTTAATGTGAAATTCTCCATTCTAGAGAAGCAGACAGAGTCAAAATTATTCACCGTGGTCATGATGGAACCAAATGTCCGAAGAGTTTAATTCCTTTAAAATCTTCCTCACAGAAAGCCATTACATGAAATGGCTATGAATATGCTGCCTGATGCCTGAGACATTGTTACACAATAGTTTTGAGATAATCTTGGTGTAAAATATTTTTAAACATTCAGGACATTCTTGCAATAACATATATTTAATATCAAAGTTATACGTTTGTCCATATTTTTGCAGCTCTAGTTCACATTGAAATCGCAAAATGTGTGACGCTGACTGCCCCTGGACCTCATGCCTTCCTGCTGGTCATACCGCTGGGCCGTTACACAGATGACGAGAACCGAGCTGTCCGAGAGATGCTCCATGTGTTTGGTGAAATTGCTCTACAGCGGCACACGCTGGTGCTCTTCACCCATGGGGACGAGCTGGAGGAGAACAGAGGTGGGATAGAGGGATTTCTCGGTCAAGATGACACGCCAGAGGAGCTGAAGACTTTAATCCAGACCTGCAGAAGTCGATATCATGTTCTAAACAACAAGGATCCAGGAGACAAGCAGCAGGTGAAAATGCTATTCAGAAAAGTGGAGAAGATGATAGAGGAAAATGGGGGACAGTTCTACACGAGTGCTATGTTCCAGCAAGCTGAACTTGCCATCCAGGAAGAAGAAAAGAGGCTGATGAGAGAGACAGGAGAAGGAGAAGGAGAAGAGGAAAGAATGGATGAAAGATTGGCATTAGCTAAGAGGAGAAGGATGGATCTGGAGGAGGTATTGAGAAGGAGGGAGGTGGATGGAAGACGGGATGAGGGTGACCAGGAGGACAAATGTTTGGATGAAAGGATGAGTAAAGGGTGGGTTTTTTTGCAGGAGAGACGAGAACATTGGAGAGAGAGAGAGAAGAGAAGAGGAAGCCGGCGCCGTTCACTCCAGCTAGCGGTTAGCCGCTTCCGTAGAGACGCAGCTCTGTCTCAGAAGGTTCTAGACCAAGTGAAAACGTTGGTGGCAGCTGGGGCAACAGGAATGGCAGTGGGTGCAGTTTTTGGAGCTGCTGCTCCTCTGGCTATGGCAGCCGGAGCGTCCATGGTAGGCAATTCGGTGGGGCTGGTTGGGGTATCTGTGGCAGGAAGTAGTGTAGGTAAAGCCCTTGGCGCTATTGTAGCAGCAGCAACCGGAAAAACAGCAGTAGCTGTGGGCGCTGCTACTGGAGGGCTTCTAGGGGGGTCCATGGGGGCTCTAGTTGGGACAGAAGCAGAAGGGCCTGGGGAGGCAGCACTAGAAGCCATGGGGCAGGTAGGCACAGTGGGAGCTACAGTGGTGGGTGTGGCTGCAGGAGTGGGTGGGGCTTTGGGGGTAGGGACAGTAATGGGGGCACTGTTTGAAGGTGGGCCTGCACTAACTGGAGTGGAAGCCGCAGCTGGAGGAGCAGTTAGCATCGCTAATGCTACAGCTGTCGCTGCACCACAGGCAGTGGCCACCGGGGGTGCTGTGGGACGTGCTGTGCAAGCAGTAGGGGGTGCTGTGGCTGCACCACAAGCAGTGGCCACCGGGGGCGCTGCCTGCAGCGGTCAGAGTGGTTTAGCTGCTAGCATTGGGCTAACAAGTGCTCTTGACACAGTGGGAACTACAGCACGGATTTTAACAGCAGTGACGGAAATTGGAAAGGCAGCGGCTGGAATCATAGTGGCCGGAGGACTCGTGGTGAAGGTGGTGAAGGAGAAGGTTCGATCAGCAACTGAAAACACGGAGAGACACTCTTATGAGATCTACTGGAACAAATAAGGGATTGTATTAGTACACTTTGCTTTGGAGCACATGCTGATAATTTAATACGTACAGTTTAAATCTCTGAAGGTCCAGTCCAGGATTAAAGTGCAGGCTTGCTGTTCCATTATTAATCTTAGGTCTTATTATCCAAACTACTCTTCAGTGTTATTCAGTATCTTTTACAAACTATTTCTTATCTATAATGAAAGTGCTATGAATCTGGACCCAACGACAAATCCTTAGGTTTTAAGTGTAAGGGATTCATTTCTCAGTTGATTTGCTGGAGCAGTGGAACAAAAATAGCAATGAGTTTGACTGCCCTGATTTGTGTAGTGCTATTTTATTCAATCACTATACTAAAAGATTTTTTAAATAATTGATGATTAAATCTCTAAGTCACTTTCCTTATGAAGCATCAGCACAGTTGAACAGACTGATATTTGCAGTGCAATTTGATAATATAGGTTTTTGCTCTTAGTTATGGGTTGCAACCAATATTTGCACTTAATGTTGCTGAATGTCAAAGGTTCAGTCATTTGCTTAACATTTATCCACTGCATTGACAGGTTATTAGGTACTGTTTTGTCAGACGTGGTACTGTCATGGTCCTTTTCTGTTGATGTACAGGGTGGAGGGAGCTGATAAATTGTGCAGCAACAGATGGGCTACAGTCTGTAACTGTAAAAAAGAAATGATATGGAGGACTACTTGAAGCATGGTGTGTTCAGACCATGCTTCAAGTAGTCCTCCATATCATTTCTTTTTTTTGACAGTGTTCAACCCAGCTTCTAAAGCTCAAAACAGCATTTTTTCCAGCATCAGATATTTTATTATTTCTGTAGAGCACAGAACTTCAAGTAGACTTTGATAGTTTTGCAAGTGACCAAACGGCTAGTCTTTAAAAATTGCTTTGGTGAAATATGTCCTTATAGAACAGACATCCTTGTGGTGATGTGCCTTCTGATGGGGCTGTTTGTATTTGTTTCTGAAGGAGGAGCCTGCTAAGATCAATAAAACTGCTTTCTTTGGAAATGGTGGTGTAATGGAAATGTATTTTGATGAGTAACTAATTCTGCTGCATACTCACCAAGCCACCTTCGTCCATTACTACAGTATAATCAAGCACATTCCTATACACTGGAAAGCACCAACTGGAAAGCACCAAATGGTTTAAGGTGTGTTCAGCTATCAATTTCATTTGAGTTGTAATAAAGTTTATATGTGAGTAGCATGCAAAATTGCCAGGTTAAATAGTCACCAGCAGAAGATCAAAATGATCCCTCTTGTTTGGGTATTGCTTTGACCCTGATGATCTGAAGAGCTGAACCGCCTGCAATAATAATTTGTCAGTCACAGTTGGAAATCTCAAAAGTTTGCTATATGAAGTATCCCTGAAAATGTCTTTTGTGTTTACTGGCAGTTCATAAGTGCGTATAACACTATAACAACCATTTAAACTACTGTTTAATAAAATACTAATACTATGAAACTATTATGATGCAAATCCTATAAAATGTTTATAATACCAATACCGAAAAGCTACTGCAACTATGAACCATTATATCTTATACACGTTATAATTTTGAGTAAACAGGCCATGGAATATTTAGGGCTGTAAACCCGTTTTAAAATAATGTTTGCTTTGGAGCAGTGGGAGGTGACGGTGATGCAACGCCAGTAAAACAAAGCGGAGTCGCCGCCACAACGCATACATATTCATATAACCCTCGCCTACCCTCTTTGCATATTTATTAGCAACGCCGTTCACAAACGGTTGTACTGGAGGAAACGGTAGCTAGGGGCGGGGCGTATTCAAATATGCCAAGCGCCTCTGCCCATCGACGTACTATCAGACCACGGCGCGGCGGATGAAGTGATAGGCCGACGACGCCTGGTCTCACTACAGCAACGAGTGCGACCTCGCCAATCAGGCTTCTGGTGGTGTATGACGTCACCATCCGGGAACAAGATGGCTGCGTTTGTTTTGTGAAGGAGTCTTTCTGTCTGTTCGCTATAGAGATGCGGTCACATACGGTTTTGCGTGTTTTGTTGTGTTTTCTTAGCCTTTTCTGATATTAAAACACAACTCACACGCACATACAAACAAATAATCTACGTGTTTACTGCTAAAGTTTCCCCGGGTAGAGGCCGGAAACGGGGAGAGTCAGAATATGGACGGCGGAGAGTACCTGTCAGCGATGGATAATATGGACCCTACTCTGTCCGAACTGGGAGACGAGTTCACCCTGGGGGACATTGATGGTAATCAAAATGTGTATATAGCTTATTTTAGTCTGGACGATTGCCCAGTGGCTATTTTCTTTAAATAGTGTATAGTGTGGAAGTTGAAATTGTATGTCTTACTTAGTGTCTTGTATAGTTGTAACGTTACATCACTACTACCGCTCGCCTAAGTTACAATGATAGCATGTCTGGCTGTCAGACTCGTAAGTTAGTAGTAGTAGTAGTGGTGGTGGTGGTGGTGGTGGTAGTTGTATAACTTACTATTTTTACTACACTACATAGGGCCTGTAATGGCTTGTGTGTCTAAATAGTGCACAGCATAGCGCATATGATGGTTTAAACACTTAAATGATACACTGCATAGCTCATATAATCCTTGTGCAGTTATGTAGCGTTAGTGCAGTACATATGGCGTATGATGTCTTGAACACCTAACCTATATAGCGCACTACATAGAGCACATAATGGCTTAAACAGCTACATCGTGCACTACATAGGGCATATGATGCCTTAATACTGTGTAGTGCACTGCACAGAGCACATAACTGCTTATATACCTATATATTGTAGGGCACATGTTAGCTCCTGCACCCCTATGGTAATGCACTATAGGGGACTGTTAGATAAAGTTTTCTCAAAGTACTAATTAGCATCTTTGATGTGGCAAATCAATAGTTTTGAGTGATGTGCATCCAGATTTGGCTTCTGTTTCTGCCTTTCCCTCCCCTATCAGGTTTGTAGCAGTAGTTTTTATTTGCCTAAACCCCTGATTTTGACTCTTTTGTTAGTATTTTGGTGCTGTTTGTTCTCCCAGCTTTAGCTCCCGAAAGCCCTTTTTAACTCAGGGGAATCAGTCAGCCGTGGATGATTTGTGGTTGGTCTCATTTGTACAGAAAAAGAACCTTATCATTCAGTAACTAAGATAAATGATTCAATAACTAACTGGTTTTAAATCCCACTGTTGCAAATTCATGCACACATGTGCAACTTCTGGATGCCACAGTGGAAAAAGTCTTCACTGAAAGAAAATGACAGAGTGAAATTTCACTCAGTGTGACACACAGGCTGGCTTTGGAAATTTGGACAGTGTTGTTGATGCCTCCAGATTTCTATGAAAGACCTTCTGAAGTCAGCAGAGATGAGCCATTTGGGGAATATATCTAATTGTGATTTTTCTGACCAATATTACAATATTACGAATGATTGCAATGCGATTATTTCATCCAGACTAGCATGTGCATTTTTTCAGACTTCAGGCTCGAGCACTGACTGTACACCAGGTGCTAAGTGCAGCTGGAAGGCATAGGATTAGAACAATGCACGTTGTACTTATGTCCGTTTTTAGAGATAAGTGTGTCATACAGTGTCAGAAACTGCATAAGAAATTCTATTAGATATTACTTAACAACCTGATACAATTTGAGGCGAGTGGGTGCTGATTCAGGCATGCATTTTGCACGATGCTAATTGTTGGGGTATAAGCTTCTATTACTTCTTAGCTAAATTAGCTTTATAGATCCAGTGCAAAACTAAAGAGGAAACTTCAGACAACAGCCATGTTTTGGCTTTTGTAAAGGGATCAAAAATATTTGATTTTCACTAAACTGTTGAAAGACTGTTTGTCATATTGTTGTCCTCCTTCTTCATAGCACGCATCCAGAATATTCCACCCTGATTACTGTCTATTGTGTTACATAACATACATGTGCAGTGCTCAAAGAATCCTCAGAAAGCACCTCCTCTGAGGGGCTACAGTGTCTGTGCACATGTGGAGAAAATGAAGCAGGCCAGAGGTTGTGCTGGTGAAATTTGGATGAAGAATGATGCTTTTGTTTGTCTTTGCTTGATTTGAATAAAAGAACCTACAGTACTGTGCAAAGGTTTTAGGCATGTAAAAATATTGGGTTTAAAAAGCTGTTTATCTCGTCAGCAAATGTTTGTTTGTATTAAAAAACAAGTTAAAAAATAAAAATAATTTACTTGGTGATTATTTATTCTAATGAAATGTGGTGATTTTTTAAGCAAAACATGTACTGCCAAGATAAATAGTTTTAAGTAATGTGCCTAGGTGCTAAGACTTTTGCACAGTACTGTGTATGATTCTAATCAAACTACATAAAGCCACATAAATCAAATTAAGTTCACTGTTGAACTGGGAATTTTTATGTTATATTTTTACAGCATGCAGTAAGACCCATGCTGGGTATGGGTGAGTGTATATTTATTAGGAAGTGCAGGATATCGAAGCAGTTGCAGTTTAATTCTTTCTTCAGGTAATTACTGAAGAAAATGTGTAGCACTTTGAAAACGTCATGCAGTTTACTCTCCTCTTGCTTCAAATGTTCCAGTAAGTTGTGCTCAGTTAGGTACATGTGGTGGAATTAACGCTAGGTGCTGTAAAACATCAACCAGACTGGACTATTATCACTCCATCATTGTTTTTATGTACTTAATTAGTGATGTCAGAAACGACCTTGGATTGCTGTCATTCAGCATGTCATTGAATGCTTCAGGAATGTCGTTTCTTTTTTTTCTTATTTCTGCAGAGCAGGTGTTTCGATGTCACATTTGTTATCGGGAGAAGGTAATGTCACAACAATAAAAATTACCTTATCACATTTTATCACTTCATTTCTATCGTAGGCCTGTTTGTATTTTGATGGCACATTTGATACCTGAAGGAGATCATGTGATGTAACAATAAAATATTACCTCATCATATTTTATCATTTGCCTGAAGGAAATGCTTTAGATCTTCCCTTAGTGTGTGTCCTGCAGTTTGATTAGATAGTTGCAGATTGTTAGTGTAGCATTAATAGTAGTCCTCTGGCAGGAGGCCTGTGTGTGATAGAGAAAGTGTGTCTGTTCAAGGTTGAAACCGTAAGTTCAAGGCTAATTCTTGCGTAGATCCTGTAGTCCATCTGGAGCACTAGGTCCCATCTTTCAGGCTTTTTGCAACCAGTTTGCTTAAAAGTGGTATAATCAAAGGTGAATGTTGCCTTGCTGTGTCTGTCTCCTGTCTGTAGTAAACGGCAGCTTCTTTTCATTCTAATTTTTCCCCCTTATATTGAACATTAAAATTAAATCACAAGGTGATTCCACATAGCGTTGTGTGTAATTAGTGAAGTTAGCTTGCTGAGAAGGAGGATGATGATGAGGATGTATTTGTCTGCAGCCGATTTGGTCAGACTCTGAAGATGAGACTACACTAAATTCCAAAACTGTGATAACCACTTAGCAAGCTTTTCAGTCAGCAGCTGTGACAGAAGAACACCTAAACAATCTGGAATTAGCCAGAAATGAACCGAATGCCATTCGCCAAACAAAATGGGCTGTGAAATGCTTTACAGACTGGTTGGAACAAAACAAAATTAATATTGATCTAGCAAAAATTGACAAAACTGAGCTAAACTTGATATCGTGACAGTTTTATGGTTCAGTCCGATTTGGTCAGACTCTGAAGATCAGACTACATGTTTGGTGAATGGTACTCTGTTAATTGTTACTCTGAAGTAGCAACACGCTGCTTGTTAAGGAACTATAATTTGGCGGAAGGAATTGCTAACATTAAAACATATTAAATGCCACGTTCACGGCCCAATTTTTATTTATTTCTTACTTTATTTATTTAACTGTTGTATAAAACAATAGAACACTCGAGGTTGTGTGTCCGTTCATGCTGCGTGAAACTCTCTAAACATGAACAATTTCAAATAAAGCTGTTTCATTAAAAGAGTACTGAGCAAAGAGAAACTGAGCTACATCACTGCTAACACCGTGCACCTAAGCTAAAAGCAGGTGGTGATCTACACAGTAGGATAATACAGTCTCTCCACATACTATTTTACAAAAAAACGCTATTAACGTTTATACCTCGTAAGTCTGCTCAGTCAAACAGAGTAAAGGAAGAATGTCGACTCTTCTGCCTTCGTGTCTCTACCTGTGTTGGGGAAGCGGTTGTGAATTGCATTTAGAAACGGTCTAAAAATCACAAAGAGGTCTCTTGGGAATGTGCTAAGATGGAATGTTTAAAATGAGCAGTGAATTTGTGTCTGATCTCCATGGAGTCAGTAACGCTTTTCTGTGTGAGCAGATCCTCCTTCACTGCCAGCTTGAGTCCTTTGTTGATTAGCGCCGCAGTGTATACGCTCAGTTCATGTCATCAGTGGGTATCAGAATGTTGGTATCTGAATTTTATGAGTACGAGTGCAAGTAAATGAGCGAGATATCGGACCTGATATGAGGATCAGTATCGACGCATCCCTGGTTCCAAATGAAATGCATTTTGTCCTTTTTCCTTTCTTCTTCCAAATATCACTGGATCCTCTGAATTATGAGGTATTTAAGGAAACTATTACAAAATATTAAAAATGCTACATGTAAGCTAACACTCCTGCACATTTGAAATAACATCACATGAATGTAAGACTGCTATTGAACTTCAACATTGTTTATATAACAATACCGGCTACTCACACCACAGGCTACTACTGCCAAATCAACGAAACTGGAGAAAGCTTGCTGGTTTGTGTGAGGTATTTTGATGAAGTTTCTAGTCCACATTATTGCAGCAAAACGTTTTTGCATGTGCCTTTTTAACTTTTAATGGAGCTGTTTTTTGCGGACTTGTGCAGGTAATGCTGTGGCGTGTCGCGGCAAAGTTATAGGTTGCTAAACTTCAATCTGTGCTGCACTAACCTTGTTTGAAAACAATGACTGAAAGCTATTTTTTCTAATGCTGTGGGATATCAAAAATGTAGTATGTTTTCTTGAATAATACAATAATCAGTTAACAATATGTTTGAGTTCCTCTGAGGGGTGGTTTGCTGCCTTGAACATAATCAAATCACATTGTGTTTGCTGAGATAGTGTAAAGGTAATGTTGCCAGTTCAATGTTGTCAGGTCAGTAGTGTTAGCTAACGTGGCAATATTCATATGTCATTTAGCAATCATTTGGAGGAAATGTACACAGGACAAAATGTATCAACATTTTTGTTTACCACAGGATGTGTTTGCA